AGTTTTTCAGTAGCATGGCGGACATATTTTTCTTCAAAATCAACCTATATACAATGGAAGATCAACTTAGTCTATTATATATACAGTGACACTAACATACGTAAGAAATAATGAACTTGACAACAAATATGTATGGTAGAAGGCCGTTAGGTATTAAAGTATTTAAGTATTCTTCTTGGTGGTAATTATCGGTATTTTCTGCTGAGTCAAAAACAGAAAAATATTTTGTTTTTTTTGCTATAAAATTTTGCAATCAACCTTTTATTTAGTTGATCAACGTATTCATTAATTTCTGCTAGCTAAGATGTTTTTCTAATTCTATCACGCGATTTGCACAACTTGCGTTCTAATTTAATAATAGAAATATTCTCTTATTAAATGCATATGATTACCATTAGGATTTATAACCAAGTGTTCAGGAAGAACCTAACCATCTTTTATTGGATGCTTTTATTCGTTTCCGACCCGAAGCAAGAAGACACTGAATACTGGATCTGTTCTTAATTTATATTTCTTGTCAGTTGAATCTTTTTCATTTGAGGCCAGAAGTATAACTTTGGCAAGCTAGCTTTTACAGTCTCTACTTCTGTCTATTTTGGAACAAATGGTAGTACTTGACATAAATTACCACCCAAACCATTAATTTTTCACCAAACGGTTCATTAATATCCAATATATCTCTAGAACTTCGTTTGACACTTAGCCATAAGTGCTTCATCCCATATTATCAATTTTGTTTTCCTTATAAATTTAGCATCATTGCTTTGCTTTGATATATTTATAATGTTTATTTAAGTTGTTTGAAGTGGTATATTAAATGTAAACTGGGTGGCTTTACAATAAAATCGGTGTCGGTACGCTACTTGATATTATTGCTAATAGTGTCATGCCTCTTGATATAATATTTTCAAGTAATGCATAACATAGAAATATTATTTCGATTCTACCGGAGGCATCTACAAAGAATAATCCCGTTATAGCAGAGTCGACTCTTTATAATATAGTCTTGAAAGCTTGTTCTTGTTTAGGATTTAGCTTTGATTGTGCTTCCTTAGACACTTGTATAGCATTTTGACTCTTAATAATATATTAACCTTTTTTACTTTGTGTTCTAACGCTCTTTTTATGGAATAAATTTATGTACCCTAAGATTTTTTTAACTTGAATAAGAATTTTACTCATATGATGAATTTAAAAAATAATTGAATTGGATTCTCTTGCTAAATAATTAATTAAAAGATTTAATTATTTGATTTAACATAAGAAAATAATTTATACTATGTTGATTCAGATCTTAATATTAGTTCATCTTTTGTTTTGAATATTTAATCTTAATTATAATTTTATCCACCATAAATTTTATTTTCAAATAGTAAAAGATTGATATGATATTTCACTTTTAGATCTTTATGCAGTCCATTTAATATTACTTTTATTTTTTTTTGGTATTGAACATTATGGAGTGGTAATGTATTACAAATACAGAGGATGATGAAATTGATTTTACTAAACCTTTGTTGGCTTGCTTCAAGACCTTCACCACTAATTATCTGGTGTTCCTCTTACCTTTGAAGTAGGCGCTGGATTTAACGTTGGAGCTGTTTACAAGATTTGTATGAGTTGAATTATCAAATTAAGTTAGAAATCATGTAGGATTCCTAACTTAGTATTATGTCCTAAAATTAATAGGATTATAAGGCTAATATCTAGAATTTTAGTTATGTCCTTTTATTATGAGCTATTATGCTTAATATGATAAAGTTATTTTGTAAATCGACATTGTCTTCATGCTTTTATAATAATATAGATAGATATAGATATAGATATAGATAATTAATCTGTGCGAAGATACTTGATTTGATATAATTTAATTTGCAAACTTTACATATCACCCAACCACGTACCCACAGTATTCATTAAGTGAAACGAATACGCATTTGTTAGAGAGCTAGGAGAACAACGATCCTATCATGGAGATCGAATATATTCAATTCTATTTCACGACAAAAAATAAAATAAAGTTTTAGGTCATGTCACAACCCTCCCCCTTTTTTTTTGGAGGGGGGGTGTGGGAGGTGGGTGGGTACTCTAATTGTCTTTTTTTTGTTGTTGCTAATTGTCTACATAGATTGGCCTCTGAATGTTTTTACAAAGGAATAAAAGCTAAATAACACGGGAAAAGTAATAATAATACTACAATAATATTATTTATGAGCAAATACAAGAATTGGCTTGAGTCGTGCTGGGCATTATCCTAAAAAATATTTCAGCTGTGTCAAAATATTTTCCCAGGTTTAAACAAGTCTGCCTCTATTTATTTAGATGATACAGGAATCAGCAAAATTTAATATTAAATCCAGCAGGTTCAGAAAATTTGAGAGAAGAATTAATAATAATAGGTAATGATTGTAGGAAGAAAGTAATGATTAGCAAGATGAATTCTCCGTTGAGAATTGAGTGGGTATGATGGCTAATCCGCAACATATTTATAGGCAATTAGGGAGGTTGCATGTATGACAAGTGTAAAGAGTCTTTTAATACTTGTCCAAATATATTAGTCCACTTGGCTTCAATATTAACAAATGCACCTTGGCTTCCATGCATGAAGACACATGGTAGATTTGTATAGCTACTTGTCAAAACTCATTCAACACTTGGCTTTAAGGCTTCATGCAAGAAGCCACTTGAAAATAGACAGGACACTTGTAAAATGAAAAGACACATGACTATTTTAAAATTTTGAAAATACTCCCACACTATGGGTGTGTTTGGTATGACGGAAAATATTTTCTCATTTTTCGCTGTTTGGTTGAACAAAATAGTTTGGAAATATTTTCCTAGATATCATATTTTCTTTAAATTGGAGGAAAATGACTTCCCTAGAAAAAGTTAGGAAAACATTTTCCAAAAACTCCACTTACTCTCACATCTAACCCCAACCCCCCCCCCCCC